AAAAAAAAAAAAAAAAAAAAAAAAATGGCTGCCGTTTGGCTGTATATCGTTCAAATTTTTTTTTTTTTGTAAACAAATATTTTATACTTTGTGTTTATTTGTACACGATATTAATCAAAAATGGCGGGAAACCGATATTAATAAAATTTTATTTATTATTATTATTATTATTATTATTAATTTTAAACATGAATAAATAAATAAATGAATAGATAAAAATTTATTGCATGAGTTTTAAATTAATTTCATATTTTAAAATTCATCGCAAGTCTTTGTCTTCTTTTTTCACGTCAATTTATTTTTTATATGGCGGTGGCGGATTTAAAAAAAAAAAAAAAGAAAAGAAGCGTTGCGAAAAAAAAATTCCAGAGCGCGATTAATAAAATAAAATTATTATTATTATTATTACTATTATTCACACGTTATAACTTGTATTTAAAAAATCGTTTCGTTGCGTCTCGTTCACTTCCGGTTTAAATAAAAACAACAACAACAACAACGAAAATTATTATGAAACGCGATAAAGTATTTTGTTTACCTTATCAATATGTTATTATTCCATAAATCTCCGTGACAGATGACGTCAAATTTGGACGAATTGCATTTCGTTAAATCAATTAACGTATTTAATATTTTACCGGAGAAAAATTTTAATTTTTCCGATATTTTTATCAATTTTAAATTATTTGATTCGTTTAAACTTTTTATTGCAAATTTTATAGAATTTTCCCAAATGGCTCCCATGATGTTGTCGACAAAATCGCCCCGGAAAACGGTTTCTTTTAATTTATTTTTAATTTTTTGAAATAATTTTTCGTTTTGTTTTTTAAACGCTATCGATACGGCGTGAAATTTTGAGATTTCCTAGAAAAACAAAAAACAGAAAAACATAAAAATAAATCGTTTGTTTACCAAAAAAAAACAATTATTATTATAATGATTATAATGATGATGATGATAGAGTACCTGGAGAATGAGAGAACATTCATTTTTAGTAAATCCTTTTATTCTATTGACCATCTGATAACCTTCCGTTAGCAAATCTTGAAGAACTAAAAACGACCGACATTGTCCGTTGTATTTTGGAAAACATAAATCATATTTAGTTTCGCTATATCGAGATTTATTGTTCAAGTATTTCACGTATTCCGGCAATATAATTTCATAAGCCGTTATTTCGTTATCAAAAAGACCAAAACAATCGTGAAAATTATGACTTAGAGAATTTGATTCGGGGATTTTTTTTATAATAAAATTTTTACGAAAATCTGGAAGGAAAAAAAAACGTTTAAAAAATACACATCATTTCATTCCAGCATTCATCCTGACGGAAATCATAATCGTCATCGTCATCGCCATCATCATCATCATCATCCTTGAAATGTGTTGTTTTTTTTTTAACGTGTCTTTGAAACAAACGACCCACGTGTTGAAGAGAGTATATAAACCTTGACATATTTTTTTTTCTCATATTTTCGACTTTCGCCTCCCCAAAAAAAAAAAAAAAACTTTTATGATAAGGGCACGATAAATAACAAACGGTTTTGCTGACTGCTGCTGACATTTCACTGATAATTTTATCACTTGTTTTTATTATCACTGTCCGGTTTTTTGTTTTTTTTTTTTTTTTCTTTGGTAGATGTTTATCTAAATGGGTTGATTGCCTTCCGGTGTGAACATAAAAACTATCAAATTCTGACAATTAACACAAACTAGGCGTGTTGTAATTCAATTCTTCATTCAGAAAATAAGAGGATGAGAGTAATTGAAGTGAAAGATTTTTTTGTTTTTTCAAAGTTGTTGTTGAACATTGATTTGTTATCGTTGCATGATAAAAAAAAAAAAATCGTTATTTATGGCGGATTAATGCGAGAATAGAAGGAGGAGGAGGAGGAGGAGAATGGCGGTAGCGGTGGGCGGTAGACGTGGATAGGAGGAACCCAAAGGGCGATTTTTTAATACCTGCACGATCTAATGCCCTATTATTCATTTTTTTTTTTTTTAATATTATTTGATAATAATAATAATAATAATAAATTTATCGCCTGTTCTATTGTTACAAACAAAAAAAAATTGGATAAATTGTTTTTTTTTTCATCCCCCCCCCTCTTTGCTATTTGTCTGCTCGTTTAAATGCAATCAATTCATTTTTCTTTTCTTTTCTTTTCTTTCTTTTTTTTTTTTTTTAGGTAAAAACACGAATACTTAACAAATTATGTAAATAATACATCTTCAATGATGATGATGATGATGGGTAACCATTATTGTTGGCTAACATGACGATTTTCCTAAGTAATTTTCTAAGAAAATTAATTTAATTTTATATTATTCTGTTGCAATATTTTAATTCAAAACAACCGACAAAAATAAAATTGTTGTTATTTGTTGTTGTTGTTTTCTCGTGTTTGTCGGTCGTGACGAACCTAAACTAAGAGAAAATTATTTTATTATTTTTTTTCCTTTTTTTGGAAACGACCGAAAAAAAAATTTTTTTTTCTTTTTGTTGTTTCTTTTACTTTTTTACATTTTTATTTACGTCAAGTACGTAAATACCGTTATGGTATAATTTATTATTATTATTATTAATTAATTACTAAAAAACTCACGGTAACGTTTTAATGTTTACCAAAAAAAAATTTTTTTTTAAACACGAACAATGATTTCTTTCTTTTTTTTTCTTTTTGTTTTTGTTCCTTATCAATCATGAATTTTTAAAAAAATTTAAAAAGGCGAAAAAAGGTTTTGAGAACGATTTATCGATGAGTACTTAATAATTATTTCGATGAAGGACCTAAATTCAAAAAGGAAATTTATTAATTTATTAAAAGTAAAATAAAATAATAATTATTATTATTATTTCGAGACGTTATTTTTTCAATACGAAATTTATTTCGACGTGAAATGAATTGGGAAAAAAAACTCCTATCTATCGTAATTTTCAGTTATGATTTCGTACATGATTTTGATTATTAATAATAATTTTATCCGCGAGAGAGCGTTTATAATTTAATTATGTAAGTTATTAAGTGTGTAGGAGTTGATTTGTTGATAAAAACTTGTTTTTGCTTGTTTAAAATTGCATTAGAGAAAGAGAGAGAGAGAGGGAGGGAGTGTGAGAGAAAAGGATAAAAAACGGAAATGCACATTTATTTTCCTTCATTGTTGTTTA